ATTTGATTGTACCCAGAATACCCGTCGAGCATACTAAGGTACTCATGTCCTGTGAAAGAATCGACTGACATTTCCACCACATGCATCAAATATCCATCTTTCGGGGTTGCATAATTCAAATCTCTAAAATATATGCACACCATTAACTTGCCATTTTTCTTAATAACTAAGACAATATTGGCAAGCCATTCGACATACCTGGTCATGCAGATGAATTTATATTTGAGAATTATTTCGATCTCCTCCTTAATCTTCGAGAGAACTTCAGGTGCGAATCGCTTCGGATTCTACTTAACAGGCTTCTTCCCAGGCTTTATTGGAAGCTTTAGTTTGACCAAATCTCTACTCAAACCAAGCATTTTGTCATAATATCATGCAAAACAGTCTTTGAACTCCTTCAGCAATTGGATTACTTCGACCTTGAGTCGTGGGCTGACGTTAGGACTGATGTATGTCGGCCTCTTCACTGCCCCATCTCTAGGTCGATCTCTTCAAGTGGATCTTGTGCCAGCATTTTGATGTTGCTTGCTAGCGGATCCTTCTCGAACCCTAAAGGCTTATCATAATAGATGGTGTCAAGCCTCTGGCGTTGCACCTCATATTGAACCTTATCAGGTGGTTATGGATCGAAGTCCTTACTAGGACCTTCTTGATGTGCTTCAGTTTCCCTAGCTTTGACAGCCAAATGTTCACTTCAGCCTCTAAGGCTACTTTTAATATGTTTTCGGATATATAAGCCGAAATCATTTTGAGCATCAACGCCTTAGTCATTGTCACTGAATTCGCTTCCCCAACTAGTCGGCTTGGTATGGGTTGTTCCAAAGATATAATCCTCTTCGCCTACCACTTCTTTGTCCCACTAAAACCCATGAGTAGGGTGCAGATAGAGAGAACAGAAAGCGTTATTTGTCGGTGTCATGTCGAATCCCGCAGGATTACATGGGCCAATATGAATTCCGGTTGAAGCTTCTTCTATCAACCTGATTCACTTCGGCCATAATATAACTCGAAGGGCCATAATATCACATTTTGTGACGTTGAAAGTGTAAGTTTTCTTAGGAATTTACCATTCTTTTTTGGTTCAACAGGATTTTTTCCACTCGAAGGGGCTAAGACCTTACAAGAATAAGGTGGGCTTGCTTTAATTCCACAAGGTCAATTTCATTCTCGTCAAACTCTAAGGGCCTGCTATATGTTCCTTCGTCGTTTTCATTAAATTCGACGTAGGTTACCCTTCTATTATTTTTATTCGCCCTAACCTTTTCCTCCTTTAGGAGTTCTAACTGTCGAACCCTATCAGCCAACTGGACTATATCCCTCAAATATTAGGTGTCTAACTTCTTCCTAATAGAGTAGTCAAGGCCCCCAGCGGCCATTTCAACCAACCCATGTTCTGGTACCTGCGTGAAACATTTGGATTAGAGTTGGTGAAATCTGTTCAGGTAATCATCTATTGGCTCAGTAAACTTTTGTTTGATACTAGCCAATTCTTTTAGACTAATCTTTGTTTGTCCCATGTAAAATTGTTCATGGAACAATCTCTCCAATTGAGTCCATATATGAATTGAATTTGCTGGCAAGGTTGTAAACCACGTGAAAGCGTTTTTAGTAAGAGATCTTGGGAAATATTTAATTCTAAGGTTTTTGTTACTCAAAATCTCCCTTGCCTCTATTAGGTACCTAACCACGTGTTCGATAGTAGACTCATTGGTATCCCCTGAAAACTTAGTGAATTTAGGAACTTTCCATCTAGCGGGTAAATCCAATTGCATAATGTATTCTGACAATGGTGATGTGTAAATTAGCCTTCGCAGGCCAAAATTTACCCTAATTCACGCCATAATCCTTTCGACTATGGCTACCAGATTGTTATCTGCTACCATATCATCCCGTCGAATTTGTTGTATGACATTGTCAGCGTTCTGGTTTCGATTCACCATTACGACCCTTGGTTCCTCCTCTGTTGGAATTTGTGATTGAATCCTAAGGGGTTCGACTCTAGGCTATTCGACAATCTCTCCCTGGTTCATAACGTTCTCTAGAGGTGTGTTCCTTTGGTTTTGTTGGACTTGGTTAATAGTGACATCCTCTCCAAAGGCTACCAATTGATTTTCTATCATATACTCCATCTGTGGGTGTCGAGGAGGTTGTGATACACCAAAAAAGTCAGCAATGCACGTCATTTGCGTGATCATTTGCTGGTTGGCTTGGGTAGTGTTTTGTATTAGGGGATTAAACATTGTCCCCATTGTTTGAACAAGCACCTAGACCATTTCATGGTTACTCTCACCCATTTACTTCCTAATAACTGTTGCAGAACTATGGTTGGGGGGGGGGGGGGGGGGGGGTTATTGGAGGGGTCCGTGACCCCATGTAAGTTAAAATGGGCTCACTATGGACAATCGACTGCGTAGGCATCGAACTTGACATGGTGGTACCCGTTCAGAAATACGTACTGAGACCGTGGTTCCTCCTGTCAAAGATGCTGGGGTAGGTTCTCCATTATTTGATGTATTTTGAGGATTTAGATTGTTTGGATGATTTTGATTTTCCATTTTCCTCGTGTATCTTCTCCTTGGCTTATCTTCGTTAGTGATGGCTAATTTACTACTTCTAAAAAACATACAACGAAGTTTAGCAAAAGAGAGACAACAAATGTGAAGAATTTGGTAGAATTTTTAAAAAGAAAAACCATTAAAAATATCACTATCACTGTCGCACTGGGCGTGCCAATTTATTTACCGCAAAAATTGATAAACAACCGCTGGTCTCCAAATATTAGTTAACTTACAGGATCAACCAGTGAATCCTAGGACATATGCTAATTTATTTTTAAACTAAAGTTAGAGAAATAATGAACATTTCGACAACATTCATGATTGAAAAATAGTGTAATTCGACAAAACAAATACGTTGTCAGGAAGTAATCAAAAAGTGTTGTAAACACATGAAAATAAACTTATGCAATAAAGAAAATAAATTTCTGGATAAAAGTATAAACTGAATTTGATTAAATTGTAAGAAAATGATGTTTCATCAAATGTACATTTCTCAACAACTCTTTTCTCTGCACACTGGATACTTTGAGTAATTTGAGTAACTTGTACAAACTTGATCATACCCGAAATTCTATCACTAAGATCTCTTATTTATATTGAATGAAATAACTGCCTCTAATGGCCTTTCTCCTAAAATGAAACAAGTGGCGCTCGACATGTCTTCACTTTCTCAATGTGTTCCACGTGTCTTCTCTTGAAACTGTATAAGAACAAAGTTCTCTCCTTTATTCAAATTTGAGCTTTAAATCGTAGACGCCATCAGTGGCCTTTTTGTCAAACTAAACCTTCAAACTTAGATAATTTCTCTAAGTCCAAACAAATCTTCCTTCTGGCACAGGGGTCACTTCGATTAGACTTCTATAGATAAACTGTCATGTTGAAGTCTATTACAAAAAATTCTCTTTCCTTTATTCATTCCACTAACTTAAACCAGGTGCCGAATTTACGAGCTAACAGTCGGATACGGGAGATGAAGGCTTCTCTTGTTGACGGGAAGAAATGCAACAAAAAGGTTTTTGCGGAAGCATATCGGGCGTTCGAAGCGGATAATAATGCTTTTTAGTAGAGGAAGGAGGACCGAGCTAATGCTTTGAGGAGTCTTGAAGAAGAGGTTATTGCTGCTTGTAACGCACAAACTTATTATTTAAACATTTTCAATTAATTGTTTGTGTTATTTAGTCATAATTTGAGAATTAAGACGTTTTCGGAATAAAGGGGTATTTTAGTAATTTACTAATTACCAGGATTAGGAGATGTGAGAGTAGATAAATAGTATTATTTGAATTATTACTTAATTATTGATAATAAAATAAATAGTAGAAATGGAGAAGCCTAATTAAAAAATTATTTAATTAAATAATTATTTTATTTAAATAATTATTTAATTAATTAAATAAAAAGAATGGATTCTTTTTTAGAATAATAGAGAATAAGAGGTAGAAAGAGGAAGATTTGAAATTATTTGGAAAAAAGTTATAAATTTAAAAAATAAGGCCATATAAATAGAAAACTTTGGGAGAAATTAGGCAGGCTACAGTAGATGAAAGGAGGCTGAGAGAGTTCCGAAAAAACGTGAAGGTTTGAGAGCAGATATTTAGGAACTTTTAAAAAATTAATTATTATGGAGAATAGTGAAAGTTCTTTACACGCAGTAAAGATTGTATGAGTTTCTCTTACTTTTTCTCTTATGAGATGAATGAGCTTTTGTTGGATGGTAGTATTTTAGTGGTTGCTATAAGACTCTTACTATTTTTTCTTTAAATATTTTTAATTTTCACTTACAGAATTCTGTTTAAAATCTTAATATCCTGCCTTGAGATACATTAATCTAAGAATATTTTCACTTGCGAAATGTTTAAAATCAAAGTAAAATTTTGTATGGATTTGACCCAACATAAAAATAAAAAAAAAACTTAGAGAAACTTTAAGAGAAACATATTTAATATCCAACTCTTCACCGTTAAACCAACCCTAGTATTAAAGAAATTTGATTATGACTTAAAAATTGATTCATCCTCGAATAATTTATGGTTGATAGTAACTTGAGCAATACTTAACCACCAATTAATCACTACCAACCGTTAATCCATAACAAAACTTTTTGATTGCCTTTACAAACGATTACAAATATATCATTATTTTATTGCAAATTGTCAATGCAAATACTACTAATATAAATATGGGGAAATAACTAAGTGCCAAGTGAGTCTTGCTTTCTATGAACAAACCTCTTTGAGAAACTTGTTCATCATTGAGTCTAAAACGGTTACTTTGCTTGCTCTTTTTAGGAAAATACAGTTTTCTTCCTTTCTTTCCCAAAATCTACCGTTTCTGGTATCTAATCATTAACCAAAACTCTTGTTATTTAGCTACTAATCATTAATTAGCCTCTCTCTCTCTCTCTCTCAAAAGTTTATCCTTTCATCCTCTCCACACAAAATAATGACCTTAGAAGCTGTGGTTTTTCCACAGAGAACATTCACCTACGGTTGCAAAGATTACTTATATTCATTAGTTGAAACCGTTGCAAGAAGTGAAGAATCTTGCAACAACAACTACAGTTTCCAAACAGAAGAAGAACAAGATCTTTATGGAATTATCAAGAAGAATTTTGATTCTTCTTCTCCTTCCGTGGTGCAAAATGGTAAGAATCAATGGGATTCAAACTCTTCCCCTGAAACTTCCAATCTTCCTCCTAGTTTCATTGTCGAAGAAGGTGCTGCCGTACCGGTGAGTCGCAGGCGTAAACGACGCCACACTGCGATTGCCAAAAACGAGGAGGAAATCGAGACCCAGAGAATGACTCATATTGCAGTTGAACGTAATAGAAGGAAACAGATGAACGAATACCTTGCTGTGCTCAGATCCTTGATGCCTCGTTCTTACGCAAAAAGGGTCAGTTTCGTAATTTTGAATTTACACCATTAAAATTGTTTTGTTTTGCTTATACGAAGATTTAGAGTTTAGATAATCTGAAATTTGACAGAAAAGTAAATAAAGCAAATAAATTTGATAGAAAGTATATTACACTGTTGTTTAATTCATAATCATGGTTTTAAATAAAGGTCTTGAGCTTTTCACAATTATTATATGTTTTACTATATATCACCGACAGTTTTAAAAAGATGTGTTCGTGTTTGTGTCAGTATTGGACACATGCACTAACACTTATATTTATATTTAATTTATTATCAATATCTATATGTCAATATTAGAGTTATATTTGGAATATCCATGCTTCATAGATAGATGTTTTGGAATTCTAATTACGATAGCAAGTGCATTATTACAATTTTTTTATCATAAAAACTGTGAAAAATAATATCAGTGTGTACTTTTCAATACAATATTAATAGGGATGCCTATGAATCATAAACCAAACTAAATTGAAATATATATATATATATATATATATATATATATATATATATATATATATATATATATATATATATATATATATATATATATATATATATAAAAGAAAGTACACATTTTATATCGACGAACTGTTTTATCGCGGCTGTTTTTGCAAACTGTGGTTTTGTATAACCAACTCCAAATTTGTAATACTAAAACTCATTACCAATTGTTTCAAAATCATAGGGTGATCAAGCATCAATAGTTGGAGGAGCAATCAACTTCTTAAAGGAGCTAGAGCACATTATCCAATCCATGAAAGGACAAAAGAAAACAAAAGCACAACAAGCACATGAAAATGTATTCAGTAATAGCTCATCATCATCACCCTTTGCTGATTTCTTCATGTTCCCTCAATACTCCACATGTGCACCTCAGACCAACACGTGCTACCCTGCTAACCCTAGTCAGTCACGTGCCATGGCAGACATTGAAGTGACTCTGGTTGATAGCCATGCCAATATAAAGATACTGTTGAAGAAACAACATGGACAGATTATGAAGATGGTTGTTGGGATTCAAAACCTTGGCCTCAATATTCTCCACCTAAATGTTTCTACTATGGATCATTTGGTTCTTGTCTCGGTTAGTGTCAAGGTAAACTAACTTACTTTTTGCTAATTTATTTATCTACTGAATAAAAAATAAATTTACAAGAAAAAATAATAATTTGTATACACTGTTTTCTTAACAGGCCAAACAAAAACACATACTTAATAATAATTTTTAAATAAATTAAAAGTTGAATTAATCTATAAGAATTTTAAAAAGGTATATGACAATTAACAAATTACATTCTAATCTTTTTTTATATCACTATTTTTTTTTTATGTAGGTTAGACGAATATGAGTTACACTATTGTCATGTTTCTTTATATCTAAACACTGAATAAAAATTATTTTACACATAATCAAGGGTGATAAAATAGATAGATTTTTCCGCCTTAAATTCATAAAAATAAAGTGAGGTGGACAAACTCGTCAAATAAAATTTGACTTAAAAATCTAGTTCGCCCTTTCAATGTGGTGAGTTGAGAGACTACAAGCTACCTGCCTATTTTATTTTATTTTTATAAATTAATAATTTTCTTTTTAACATCTCAATTAAATTTTTTTACTTATTCTTTAAAACAACTTTTTACAAAACATCTATTTAACAAATTTTACCTAAAAAAATATTGCATATATTTATAAATAAATATATAACATAAAACTATCAAGAAATTTAACTTAAAATAGAACTATTAACGAGCGTTCTAAAATTATAGGTTAAATATTAACTTTCAACTATCCAAAATATTTTAACTGCTCGATAACTAGGTTAGTTGATTGGCGGGTCAACCCACTCCTTTTTTTACGAGTTTAAAATGAAACAGGCTTAAAGTGGAACAAATTGAAGGGGTAGACTGGTACAAAATCCAAACACAATCTACTATTATTTGACGGATGCGCAGGCCGGACCGACGGGTTACATCCCGTCTTGTCACCCTTACCACAATGTTGTCATATTATTTAATGAGTTTAAAAATATATTATTTTTCATATTTATAATGGAAAGTTCTAAAAAAGAAATGGATTAAAAATATGTACGAAGAATGATTGATTAGTGTGCTAATAAATGGTGGAGAAACAACAAATTTTCTATTCTAATATGTTTGTATAAAAGTTCAATTTAAGATCCTATCTTTTTATATAATTTTGATGTACTCATGGAATATTTTTAAAAGTTAGCACTAAGATGTGTGTTTTTAACAAATGATATAATTCTATTTAGAGAATCCAAGGAGAATTTCAATGAGATGTTGAAGATGAGTTTTAGAAACGTGTTAGCTTTACTCAAGTAGAAGTAAGACGTAGTATATGAAATATATGTTCAACAAATAAGAAGTGTTGCAAACTTAGAGGTGAAAGTTAGAAATTATTTCATACGTCACACAATTTAAATATCTTAGGTTCATAACACTAAATGAAGGAGAAATAGGAAGTGTGTAATCCATCGAATTAAAGTTGAGTGACTGAAATGAAGGAAAACTTCAATGGTTTTGTGTGACACAAATGTATCAAGCTGAAGAGAAAATTTTATCAAAATGTGGTAAGATCCGTGATGTTTTACGGGATAGAATGTTGGACGATTAAGAATCAACACAAGAATAAAATAAGTGTAATAGAGATGATGGTGTTGCGTTGAATGTGTGATAAAATTAGACAATATAAAATTATGAATGACAATGTTTGAAAGAGTTTGAAACCACACCTATAATAAAAAAGATGATGGAAAATAGACTTAATGCGGTAGAAGTTATTTATTGTTAATTTAATTATCATTATAGTGACCAAAGTGACAATTTCTAATTATATCCATAAAATATTAGTAAAAATTTGCTTACTATATGTATCTTTTTATAAAACTTCCAATTGATATTAAGAATACATTATTAACAAAAGTAGTGCATATAAAATAATAGAGAAAGTTGCAAGTGGAAGCCAAATCCGATAGGATCCAAAAACCAACCAACCCTACCAATAGGTATACAAAACCAGCAACTGAAGATAAAATCCAGAAGAAACAAAAGAAAGAAAAAAATTAGCAATTTAATTTTGTACATAAGAGACTGTCAATCATTTGGCTAATGTATATTTTATTGAAATAGGTAGAGGAAGGGTGTGAACTGAACACAGTGGATGAAATTGCAGCTGCTGTGAATCAACTATCACTCAGAATCCAGGCGGAAGCTGTATTATAATATCAACAAGAGAGAGATTCATATACATGCATCTGCATAAAAGCTATATATAGTAGGATATTCTTTATTGTATATTTTCTTTTATGTCTTCTTCTGCTTTTTTCACGGCAACTACAAAATATGGAAACGACAAAGAGTTTGAAGGGACAATCACTTTGTTGTGGAGGCCCATACTTGCTCCAAGTGTGTATCAATTTGTTATTATTAGCATTATTTCAAAATCATGAGCATCGTTAATTTCTTTGGATTTGTTTGTGGGGGCTCTTACCATTATTATGTTTTTTCAATGTTAAGTTTGTCTGTAATCTATGAAAAGTTATAGAATTTTTCTTTTGGTTTTATTCCAATTTTATTTTTGGAGTAAATATTGGCAATTAGTTTGTTAGAAAAAGAAATATAATTATTGTATAGGAGAGACCAATGACTGCGAGCAACACTTCTTCCGTCGCATTGATGCATGTTGTTATTAGAAGTAATTCATATTTATTAGTTGTACTATTTTCTTAGCCCCTAAGTTTGTTAGAGGGTATTTTAGTATTTTTATCTTATTCTAATAACCCTAGTATTAGCTTATAAATAGGGTATCAATCATTGCAATTTTGTAGTAGTGAGTAGCTGTCATTCTCTTAATAGAATATTTCTCTATTCATCATTTATTCTACCTTTGCACCAACAATTGGTATCTAGAGCTCCGGTTCATATTCATTGGGAAACACGGGAAACACGAGTGAACGTGAGTTCTTGTGTGTTTGATTTTGATTCTTAGATTCGTGTTGAATCTTGAACAAAATCTGATCAGAATTTTAATCTGTGGGTTGGGAAACACTGTGTGAGAAATCTGAGTGTATTGTGCAAGGTAGAAGATGAACGGAAACGGCAACATGAACACCAAACTTCCAGTATTTGACGGTAAAAACTGGAACCGTTGGATGACCCAAATGCGTGTGCTGTTTGGTGCTCAAGATGTTCTAGATCTTGTCACTGATGGTTATGTTCCAGTAGCAGCATATGCAACAGATGAACAGAAAAACGCGCAGAAGGAAGTAAGGAAGACAGATCAGAAAGCATTGTTCTTCATTCATCAATGTGTGGATGTAAATGTGTTTGAGAAGATTGCAGATTCAACAACAGCAAAGGCTGTATGGGACACACTGGTGAGATGTTATGGTGGTGACGCATCAGTGAAGAAGGTGAAGCTTCAGTCCTTGAGAAAGCAATATGAGAATCTCAACATGAAGAATAATGAGAAAGTCTCTGAATACATCTCTAGAATGATTTTGATCACTAATGAGATGAAGGTGTGTGGAGAAACTCTTTCTGAAGAAGCAATCATGGAGAAAATATTGAGATCCCTTACCCCTCAATTTGATTACATTGTGGTAGCAATAGAAAATTCGAAAGATCTGAGCACCATGAGAATTGAAGAGCTGCAGAGCAGTCTAGAAGCGCAAGAGTTGCGTTTGACTGAGAGAACTTCTGAAAAGGAAGTAGAGCAGCAGGCTCTGAAAGCAACTTTTGATAGGAGGTATCAGAAGTAGTCAGAAGCCAGGAGAAGATCTGATGGTGGTCAGAAGTCAGAAAGCTCAACCTCTGATAGACAAAAGAATGCTCAGAAGGGAAAAGAGAAGTATGACAAGAAGAAGATCCAATGTTACTGTTGTAAGAAGTTTGGTCACTTTGCTAGAGATTGTTGGTCAAACAAGGAGAGAAAAGCAGAAGAAGCAAATATAGCCAGAAGTTCTGATGACGAATCTGTGCTATTGGTGGCCTCTGAATCTGATAATATGGATCTGATAGACTGGTGGTATATGGACACTGGCTGTTCAAATCATCTTACTGGAAACAAGAAATGGCTGATTGACTTTGACTCTGAAAAGAGAACAAAGATTAGATGTGCTGATGACAAATATCTTAATGCAGAAGGTATGGGAAATGTCAGAGTGATTCTGAACAATGGGAAAACAACATTGATTCAGAACGTGTGGTATGTACCTAGCATCAGAAGCAATCTGATGAGTGTGGGACAATTAATTGTGAAAGGTTTTTCAGTTACCATGAAGGACAATCTTCTGAAACTGTATGACTGCAATCAGAAGTTGATTATGGAGTCAGAACATGGAAGGAATAGAACATTCAAGGTGAATGTCAGAACTGCAGACTCAAAATGTCTTAGTGCAACAAGTGCTGAGAAGGAGAGTGAGATGTGGCACAGAAGATTTGGTCATTTGAATTTCAGAAGCTTAAAACATCTGAATTCAAAGAAGTTGGTACATGGAATTCCTGCAATTAAGAAGCCTGGAAAGTCATGCAAAGTTTGCATGGAAGGAAAACAACCACGATTTCCATTTGCGTCAGAAGCTGCTCCAAGAGCAAAACATGCCTTGGGAGTTGTACATTCTGATGTGTGTGGTCCATTTCCAGTAGCATTAATTGGAGGGAATAAATACTTTGTGTTGTTTGTTGATGAGTTCACAAGAATGACATGGGTATCCCTTATTAAATTTAAACATGAGGTGTTTGATGAATTCAAGAAGTTCAGAATGAAGGCTGAGAATCAGAGTGGTCAGAAGTTGAAGATTCTTATAACTGATGGTGGAAGTGAGTATAACTCCAAAGAGTTCCAGAAGTTCTGTAAGGAGAATGGAATTGAGCATGAGGTTACTGCTCCTTATACCCCTCAACACAATGGTCTTGCTGAAAGAAGAAACCGCACTTTGCTTGATATGGTGAGAAGCATGCTAAAGGAGAAGAAGCTTCCTCAGAAGCTCTGGGGAGAAGCTGTTGCCACTGCAACGTATGTACTCAACAGATGTCCTACGAAGAAGTTGAAGGAAATAGTTCCAATACAGAAGTGGACTGGAGATAAGCAAAGTGTTAGTCATCTGAAGGTGTTTGGTTCTGTTTGCTATAAACATGTTCCAGAATCCAGAAGATAGAAGTTGGATGATAGAAGCGAAGTGATGATTCTGATAGGGTACCACAGTACAGGTGCATACAAGCTCTATTGTCCAGAAACCAATAAAATTGAATTCAGCAGAGATGTGATTGTGAAGGAAGCAGAAGTTTGGAATTGGGATAAGTCTCAATCTGACTCTGATGTTAGAACTTCTGAAGAAAGGTCAGCGTTAAGAATTTTTGAAGTTGGAGTAAATTCTGACGTTGACTCTGATAGTGATTCAGACTCTGGAGAAGACTTAGAAGATGAAGGTGACTCTGATGACCCAGACTCTGATGGTAATCCAGATTTTGGTGGCAATTCAGACTCTGAAGATGGCCAAGGCTCTGGAGGAAGTCAAGCCTCTGAAGCTAGAAATTCTGAAGTTCAAGACTCTGGAAATATGCTAGACTCTGAAGATGGTCAAAGCTCTGGAGGAAGTCAATCATCTGAAGCTCAAGACTCTGAACAAGTTCAGAGACCACAAAGAATCAGAAACATTCCAAGAAGATATGCAGAATTTGACATGCTTCAAGACACTGAAGTAGACTCTGAAGGAGAAGTTATTCAGTGTGCCATGATAGTAGACTCTGAACCCATAAGTACAGAAGAGGCTCTTAAGCAGAAGCTCTGGCTGAAGGCCATGAAAGAAGAACTTGATGCTATAAAGAGAAACAAGACTTGGAAGCTGACAGAACTTCCAAAAGACAAGAAAGCCATCAGCGTCAGATGGGCTTTCAAGCAGAAGTTAAAGCCAGATGGTTCAATTGGCAAACATAAAGCAAGGTTGGTAGCCAGAGGATTTCTACAGAAACCTGGGCTGGATTATTCTGAAGTGTTTGCACCTGTAGCAAGACATGAAACAATCAGAATGGTGATTGCAATAGCTGCTAACAAGAATTGGCCTCTGATGCATTTAGATGTAAAATCTGCATTTCTGAACGGTCCATTAGAAGAAGAAGTTTACGTGTCACAACCCCCTGGATTTGTTAAAAAGAATCAGGAAGGGATGGTGTACAAATTATACAAAGCTCTATATGGATTGAAACAAGCGCCCAGAGCTTGGAATCAGAAGATTGATTCATTTTTTCAAGAAGCAAGGCTTTCAGAAATGTGAGATGGAGTACGGTGTCTATGTTCAGCATACTTCTGAAGGCAATATGACTCTGGTATGTTTATATGTTGATGATATACTATTGACTGGAAGTTCTGAACAGGAGATATCCAAGTTCAAGAAAGTTCTGATGAATGAATTTGAAATGACTGATCTAGGCAAAATGACATACTTTCTAGGGATGGAGTTCAGATATTCTGAGAAATGTATCTTTTTGCATCAACTCAAGTATGAATTAGAACTTCTGAAGAGATTTGAACTGAAGAATTGTAAGATTGTTGTCACACCTTCTGATACAAATCAGAAACTGGATTCTGACTCTGATGGAAAGGATGTGGACACTACAACCTTCAAACAGTTGGTTGGTTCTCTAAGGTATCTGTGCAATACCAGACCTGATATTTGCTATTCTGTTGGGATGGTTAGTAGGTTCATGAGTAAACCTAAGTGGTCCCATTACCAAGCTGCTGTCAGGATTCTGAGGTATATCAAGGGAACTCTGAAGTATGGAGTATTGTTTCCTTCTGGAAGAAAGGATGAGTCAGAACTTCTGAGTTATTCAGGTTCTAATTGGTGTGGAGACAGAGTTGACAGAAGAAGTACCTCTGAGTACTTGTTCAAAATTTTGGGAGGTCCAATTTCTTGGTGTTCCAAGAAGCAACCTGTTGTGGCATTATCAACCTGTGAAGCTGAATACATTGCAGGTGCTGTTACTGCATGCCATGCTGGGTGGATTCTGAATCTGTTGCAGGATCTGAAGATTAAAATAAACAAACCTCTGAAGTTGATGATTGACAACAAGTCTGCAATCAATCTTGCCAGAAACCCAGTGTTGCATGGGAGAAGCAAGCATATTAAGACAAAGTATCATTTTATGAGACATCAAGTTCAGAGTGGAGTGTTAGAAGTTGTACACTGCAGCACTCAGAAACAGTTGGCAGATGTTCTGAC